AAAATATTTCACTTATATCTGTTAATTAAGGTATTTTACTTACTTCCTCTTGTACAAGTTTGAGGCAGACATTTCCCGCCAGCGGTGCAAGCAGGAAGTAAAGAGGCCTGGTCATGTGACCATTCACACTAGTTACATGACATTGATACAAATTAGAGGAGACAACATATTCTTTTATTTAAAAGATTTTTATCAAAAATTATTAGCTGCCAAAACCAAAACAGCACTTTTAGAGCTTCTAGAAGTAAAAAAAAAAAGAGCGGCAACAGTTGTTGCTGGTGGGATTAAACAGGCCACATTATTCAGTTACAGTACAAATTGACCATGATGGTCTTATAGTTGGTTTATGGTTTATGGTTTATGGTTTTCAAGTTTCAAGTGAATGGGCTGAATGTTTGTGCTACAGTAAAGCAAGTGACAACACAGGTTTGTTTTTGTTTACTTTTTTATTTGCAGAAAATACAAATAATAAAAGCTATATAGCTAATTCTACTTAGTGTCATCTTTGTAGAACAGTCACAACGTGCTTTAGTAATATTTTAGACATAAAATACAGTTGATGTAAGAGTAAAAAAACACAAACAAAACCCTATTACAGTTCTGTGGTGGAAGTAACAAATCACATCTACTGCAACACCTTTTTGTGTAGGTTACTTATACTATTTATATGTTTTTAATTAAGTCATTTTAATTTTACTTTTCTACTCATATTTCAAGTGGCATCTGTTACAGAGAGAAAGTGAAAGGAAGATGAAAAGGTCAGAGAATCCGTGTGGCAACGAAACAAAAGAAAAACTGCAGGTGTTATTGTGGTTGCAGAGGGCAGAGGTGACAATGCTCTTAGCTCACTTTCTCGGAAACCTGTTGCATAATGTGAAAAGCAAGCTGGGCCGCACATAAGCGGGGTAAAAGGAGAAAGCATTCTCCTCTGATTGAAGGGTGTTGCCCAGAGCCGGACCTAGCCCACCTAGGAAAGCTAGTCCTTCTTCTACCCTGTGTAACTGTGCTGGAAATTGAGCAATTAGATAAAAACAGATGAATAAATATAAATATATAATACATATGGATGAGACACAATTAAGTAATTAATGTGAACGATGGGAAAGTTGATGAAGTTTTGCTTTTATCCACAGGTGGGTTTTTATAAGCAAGAAAGGCTACCAGGAAACAGACGAAGCCATCCAGAGTTCTGTCATAACAAAACTAAAAGGAGTCTCAATAACCAACACTACTGAGTCAGGTCTGCTGGTGTGGGGACCGGAGGACTACGTTATCCCACCACAGGTGAAAACATTTATTTTAGAGATTTGAGGAAGTTTCACACACCTGAGGCACACGCATGCCTTTTTTCTACTCTTGTTTCCACACTGTTTTCAGACTCAGTGACGATAAAACAGTTGTGTTGATGCTCAAAACCTGTGTATGCATACCTTTTTCCCTCACACAGAAAATTGATCAATAAGGGAATTGATAAAGAATGGGACCGATAAGCAGAAACGATAATGGCATTGATATCAGTTAACTAGGGATGAGGAACCAGGACTGACTGAGTTAAAGGAACATTTTGACATTTATCACCTTCTTGCCGAGAGCTAAATAAGAATATTGACATCACACTAAAGTGTGTACAGTAAATATAAAGCACCAGCCAGCAGCTAGTTATCTTTGCTTAGCATAAAGACTGGAAACAGGTTTATGGTGTATCTACAGCAAAAACCTGAATAGGGAAGCAGGTCAAACCCAGGTAGTGGATACCATGTGGATTTAAATCAAAAAGCAGGTTAGTGGGTGGAATAGCTGGAGCACTATATGGCAACTAAGATAATGTGGTGTTGGGAAAGTGGCTAGTACGGTATATACTGAGAGGGACAGGTCTGCAGGAAGGAACAGGGTGAGGTGATCATCATTATGGGATGATGTCAATATAAAGACCAATTTACAGAGTTTTCTTTCCTACCTACAGGGTGAAGCTGTTCTGTTTGTTGTAACCAATTTCTTTGAGACGCCAAACCAGAAGTTGGGATACTGTGCTGAGGTAAGAATATTTTGTAGAACTAATTGAAATACTAAATCATGGACTGTATTTTTTCCCCCCACTTTATTCAAAAGTGTGGCACGACTCACACATACAGAAGGCAATAGATGACTGAGGTTAGGAGAGAGCTACTGAAGCTTAATAAAAAACAGATATCAGCCATAATCATCATGAACACTGACAGTGACTAAGACTGATTATCTGTAAAAATGGGCAGCGTGAGGATTTGAGCGACTTTAACAAGGGCCAAAGTATGATGGCTAGACGACTGAGTCAGAGCATCTCCAGAACTGCAGCTGTTGTGGGGTGTTCCTGGTCTGCGGTGGTCAGTACCTATCAAAAGTGGTCCAAGGAAGGAAAAGTGGTGCACCAGAGACAGGTTCATGGGCGGCCAAGGCTCAGTGATGCACGTAGGGAGTGCCCAGGGTGCCCAGGTGGTCATAATGTTATGGCTGATCGGTATATAGTCCCTGTCTTGATTTCTGTAGCAAGACAATAAATGGCTCGTATATGGTGGCATGGTCAGCACACCCAGGAGAGAACCAATCTGCCTTTTCTTCACAGCGCTTAGTCATAGCAAAATACTTTTAACAAAGGATGACACCTCCCTCTTCTTTCCCTGAGTGTGTGTGTGTGTGTTTCAATTATACTGTTCATCATTTCTGTCAACTATATCTTTAGCTACAAATTTCCAGAGGTTTCCTGGTATGTAAACACAACTTCTCTTGGTCTCCTTCCTCACTGCGACGGCCAAGAAGAACACTAAGCCCATGCAAGCATTACACAACCTTAAAACAATGCTTCTTGTATACAATCTGGCTCTCACCTAAATTGCAGTGCTCCTGAATCTGAAAGGCTACCAAGGCCTTTCACTGTCATGTATCAGGTTCCAGCCAGGCACAGTCACGTTCCACTAAAACAGAGTTTTAAGATGAATTTCTCATCCTTTATGAAAAGGGCACAGACGTGTCCATGAATAATCCCTAACTACAGTGCTGCTAGAAAACAGAAACCTTTTACTGTTATTTAAGGTTATTTATTCTTGGATACTCACAGGACTCAAATACAGTGTAAACTTGAACTTGTCTAACTGTAGCTATGGCAGTAGAATCTGTGAATATTGGGATTTTACCCTTTTTCAAAAATATTTCACTTTCAACTTATTAAAAAGAAATTAAAAAGAAGTTATGTATGATAAAAATAAATATACTCATGGTAAATCAAACATTTGAAAGTCAAATTTATGTGCCAGTAAATCAAAATAATGACACTAAATCAATATAATTAGTACTAAGTCAAAATGAGAAGCTAGTGAGTCACAATAATGCAATACTAAATCAAAATGATTAAATGCTAAGTCAAAATTATAATCTAGTAAATTAACATTATGAACTACTTATTATGAGGTAGTAAGTCAGAATTATGAAACAAAATAAAAATAATAAAATACTGTCAAAATAATAAATAAAAAAAAAATAAGAAATTATGTCAAAATGGCAAGATACTTTGAATTTCATAAACTATCTCACAATTTTGCGTAGTATTTCATCATTTTAAGGTTTTAGTTTTAACTGTTGCATTACTGTGAGTATTTTAATTTTTCCAATACTTAATTTTTCTTTTTTTTTTTTTTTTCTTGGCCAGAACAGGCTTTAATAGGTATGATCTAAATACAACATAACATAAATTAGTCGTTTTTATCTGCAGATGCTGCAGGTTACCTTCTACAGAATCCGCCATGTTGAACAGCCATGTTTCTACAGTAGCCCAGAACAGATGAACCAAACATTGGCTCTAGATAGATTTTTGCACATTTGGCAACCACTGTAGTTTCTCCTTTTTGCTTAGAAAGGGGAGGGTGAAACAGGTTGTAATCTGCAACTTACACTTACACCCCTAAATTCATTACACTGGACCTTTAAGATCACAATTCATCACATTTGCTTCCTGAATCCAACAGCTGCTTTTTCATCCAGGACGGTTCGTTTGTGTGAAAATGGTCTGTCATGGTTAAAAGTTTCTTGAACCTTTTTTGCTATTTGTTCACAGAGCCCCAAAGTGCTAGATGGCCACTGTCGAGATGACAAGGACTGTAAAGAAGGAAAGATGGTAGTGGCTGGTCACGGTAAGAAAATACATTTCCATTGAGTTGGTCGACTTACTGGGTTCCGAAATATGATTTGGGTCTAAATTCAACAAGGTTATATTCTCCCTCAGCAACATTTTATTATACCTCCACGTTGCTGATAGCTGTAGCCGGAGGCATAGTGTTTTCTGGTAGTCTGTCCATCCGTCTGTCCTATTCTTGTGAACACAATATCTGAGCAATGCACTGAGGGAATGTCTTCAAATCTCAAGGATGAACTGATTAGAATTTGGTGGTCAAAGGTCAAGGTCACTGTGACAATAAATCAGGTTTATTTGACGTTTTTGGCCATAACCCAAGAACTGATGACCATATGCGAATTGGTGACACTGATTCAGAGGTTATTGTGACCTCAAAATATATGTTTAGCCAAAACTTAAGAATCAAGTGGTTGATCCCAGAATGAGTGAACAGTAACTAGAACAGTACAGGCTTTAATCTTAACATCTTGTCTATTCTGACTTTCATTTCTTGCCTCATTTTGAATGTCGAATGTACCATCTAAATGCCAGAGAAAATCAAAAGCCACATTTAGTATAACTATACTATAATCAAATACATGTGTATATTCACTGTAATCAAACATAGGTATGATAAATATAGTGACAACTTAGCCAAAATACACTTATATCTCACACAACAGCAGGACAGGAACTTTATTTTTCCAAATACATATAAATGTTAATGTGATAGAATAACACTAGTGGTTAAAATAATGTTGAGGACTATTCTGCTCATGTGGTAAATATCACTGAATAACAGATTATGTATAATCCATATTTTCCAACAGAAGTTCACATGTAGTGTCTTTTCATATGTGATAAGGTAAAGGTTTTCTGCTTTCTTAAGGAGTTATGAGTGGCAGATGCTTAAGAAAAGATGAAAACTCCACTGGTACCTGTGAAATCTATGGCTGGTGTCCCATTGAAAAAACAAACAGACCACAGTAAGTAGAAACGCAGTTACATGAAAGCTCTTGGAGGCATGAAAAAAGTGAAGTTATGGTTTGTTCTTCCTCTATTCTGATAAATTCGCTTACCCTAAAGCACGCACACACACACACACACACACACACACACACAGGTGAGGGCTGTATTGCCATCCATCTGTAAACATTCAGAGCAAGGTGCCACTAGATACAAAAACAGGATGCAAATCAAGGTAAAAACATACTGCATAGTGCAATGTGAATGACACCTATACAAGGGTAGAAAAATATATGTGTAAAACGTGTATGGTGAAGTAATGCAGTAGCACCAGTTAAGGCAGTTTTCCTGAGGATATTGTAGTAAGGTATGAGTCAGTCCAGTAAAGTTTTCTACATTTATTTTATTTGACTTTATTTTACTTGAATTTTATTTTACTTTTATTCTTATCTTTACTTTCTATATTTAGCTAAGAGTTTATTGTTTACTGTTTATTGTTTACTTTCTATATTTAGCTAAGAGTTTATTGTTTATCTTATATTGTATTTTATATCTCTTTTCTTTATAGATGGTTGTGTAAGCTGCTGAAAATTCAATTTCCCTTGAGGAGTCTATCCTAAGACTCTAATAAGGGTTAGTCTATAGTCAATGAGGGTTGGTATGAGTGAGTTGGTGGGTGGTGTTGTGGTGTGTGGTGTGAGTTGTTGTGTTTAAGGAGACTTTGTGACAACGCTGAAACTTGACTTGGTCTCAAAGATTTATCAAATTTCCTAAATTCGGATTTTCAAAGTAAGTCCCCTTTGTCTCCACACATTCTCTGCATGTACTGCTTGTTAACTGGAAACAGCTGTGAGCTGTGAGCAGTGCACAGTCTGTACTACTGTGTATTTCTTCTGTGAGGTCCAACGTCCTTGAAACGACTGATGAATCCTATTTGAGGAAGTGCAGATACGATGAAGAGCTCCACCCCTACTGCCCCATCTTCCGACTTGGAGACATCACCAGGCGAGCTGGATTCAAGTTCCAGGACATGGACACATTTGTTAGTATTATGCTTTTCAACTCAGATTTTATTTGGTGTTCCTTTTTTTGTCAGAACAACAACAACAACAACAACAAAAAAACATTCCAGGCACCACCACATCTACATCAACAGTTGAGTTGAAAAGCAAAGAGAGAACATTTTATTATGTTTGAATTTTAAGGCATACAAAAAAAAATAGAAAAATGGGTCTGGGACTAATGTGACAAAACAAACTATTTTTTTAAGAGAATAATACTGAAAAGTACTGTTTCCTAATAATGTACAGAGATCTGCTTAATTATGAATATCTTGTGATCTTAAACAACATGCTTTTATTAATTTTTACAAGCGATATACAATCCGACCCAGTGGTGCACATATTGACCTTATTAAGGGGATTGAGTATTGGCAATGATGTGTCATTGTAATAATTCAGTGTTTTCTGGTATCATTTGCAATTTCCTTTACTGCGGGTGAGGTATACAGATTTTAAGCACTGGTGCTGGCTCAGTACTCATATCAGCCTGAGTTGAGGTATCGGCAGTGGGAAGAAAATAGTCAGATCAGTGAATCCCTAATGTTTACATGCTAGTTGTCATGCTCATTTGTCATTATTTAGGAACATTTCCACCACAATAATTTCTCTATGTAGTGGTCAAATAGAAAAGACAAAGACTATTTACCATGATTTAGAAGCCACATATGATTGAATCTGTTTTCCTAGGGCGGCTCCATTGGCATTATGATCGAGTGGGATTGTGATCTTGACAAAGGCTACTCTGACTGCCATCCACGGTACTACTTTACCCGCCTGGACATCAGTGGCTGCAACAAGACCCTCACAAAAGGGTTTAACTTCAGGTGAGACTCATTACAGACACTGTCTTAGTCTATGCTGTCATTCCTATTTTCAACAATGGAGTTATTTTTACTCACAATTACAAATATGATTTTACAGAAGAAATTGATCAAAAAGTCTACCTTGTCATGAACTACTTAAAGATAATTTTTTTTTGTATTCTCATGCTTCTGTATTTACCTTTTTTAATTCTCCAACAGATACACTCGGTATTTTAAAAATGCTACTGGTGAGAGCTATCGATCTCTATTCAAAGTCTATGGTGTCCGATTTAACATCATGGTGTATGGAAAGGTATGGAAAATGTGTTTTACAAAGTGAATGCATGGAATACTGTCCACTCTGCCAAAGAATTATGAAGTGATGAGATTTAAAGCTCCAGTGTGTCCCATGTATGAGGATCTATTGGCAGAAATGGAATTTAATATCCATAGGTATGTTTTCATTAGTGTATAATCCTCTGAAAATAAGAGTTGTTGTGTTTTTCGTTACCTTAGAGTGAGTATTTTATCTACAGAGGGAGCAGGTCCTCTTCTACGGAGGCAACCATGTTGAATTTCCATGTTTGTACAGTAGCCCTACGCTCAAACCAAACACTGGCTCTAGATTGCAGTTTCCCACACGCTTGGAAGGCTGAGCTGTATTCAGAAGATTGCAATTTGTAACTACACTGTGTTGGATGTTTTAAACAACATTTCTTCTATTTGTGCTGTTATTCAAAGGCAGGGGCGTTCAGCATCGTCTCAACAGCCATCAGTTTAGCTGGAGGACTGGCTTTGTTGGGTGCTGTAAGTACCATTCATCATTTTATTGAAATGTTTTTAAAGAACAGGATTTTGTTCACATCACTGAGTAAGACTTCATTTAACAGGGAGCTTTCTTCTGTGACCTGGTCCTTCTCTACCTGATAAAGAAGGGCAATGCGTATCGAGAGAGGAAGTTTGAAGGATCCAGGTAGTTTTCTTTGTCAGTCTGTCTTCAGCAGTGCTTCATAACATTTTTTAAATGCAAAATGTGTAAGGATATTGTGATTTATGTGTTTTCAGTGCATACATGCACCAATTTGTGTGTTATGATATGGGTAGTCTGTTATTTCAGGATATTGAAGTCTAACCAAGCCTGATTCTCAGGTTATCATGGTTGACGTTAATGATGTGGAAGACAGAGACCTTAAGACGCCTCTGTTTTAATCGTGTTATAGCATTCTGATAACTAATCAGCACAAAAGATTTGAGTTGTGTGTCACACCTTATATGATATAGCTGATGTGAAATGTTATGATTAGCTGATGAAAATTTGTTGTGAACACGTGCACATACTCACATAAAGTTGTCACTATCATATTGGAAAGTGATTAACTCTGTTTTCTTTTGGTGTTGCAGTTGTGTAGCCGGTGAAAGATACACTAATAGCAGTTTTCTGGGATAAGGCTATGTTTTATACACTATTATTTCCAGAGAAAAGGCTTGCATATATAGTTATATATCTCACTTCTGCATAATATGTAGTTTAACAAATGTAGAATTTTAACAAATCTTCCAAGCTGCTCTTGGTCATTCTGACACATGGTTTATCTGCAAAACATATCTAATTTTCTTACATATTTGCCACCACAGTCTGAATCTGAACCAAACAAATAAACAGAAATCAACACATGAAGACAACTGTGAGGAAGATGGAAAGGAGAGGGAGGGGTGTCTGTAACATGCCTTTGTTGGTTAAAGATAAATATAATATAAAAATGATATATCTCAGCAGTACAGTATAACTTATGCTGTACTGGTTTGGAGCTCCTGTAGGATGAGCCATCATCGTGGAAAAAAAAGTCTTTGATTGATACTTGATACTGACTATTTGTCAATTGTAAGATGCTACTATATTCTGCCTTTGTAACAACTACATTTTTTTTTTATAACTTAAAAACAATAGTTCAAAAGAATCGTGAAGAGATTTTCCATTGACTTTATACCAGGTTTAACCATAAAATGATTGTGTTTTAGCAACATTGCAACATGCAGACCACTTTTACTTTTCATGTTGTTGTATAATGTTTTAAAGGACCAGTGTAACATTTAGAGGCATCTAGTGGTAGGATTGCAGATTGCAACCAACTGAAACTTTTGCACTTAACCGAGCGCAGAGGAGAAACTACAGTGGCCGCCAAACTCACAAATTCCCTATCTACAGCCAGTGTTTGGTTTGTCCTTTCTAAGCTACTGTAGAAACATAGCTGTTCAACATGTAGACCTCCATGGAAGAGGACCCACTCCCTTTGCAGTTGATTGATTATACAATAATGAAAACACACCTATGAATATTATATTCCATTTCTGGGAATAGATCCTCCTAAATGTTACACGCTGAACCTTTAACTGTTTTTTTAACCAAACAACTAAACATTTATGGAACCTTTTTTTTGTATGTAATGACTTTTGTCTTGTTGTTTTTTTAAATGTATGTGAAGCAATATTCATAATTAGCAAAATATTGGGGGCACCTAGATAGCTCACCTTGGTAGAGCTGGCGCCCCATGTACCACAAAGATAAAAAATTAAATCAGCAAGATATCCAGAACCAGGATAGAATTCTGATCATATTATTTTGACCACGCCCTTTTCCCTTCTTGATTTGGTTCCTGGTCAGATCAAGTGTCTGGTTAAAGATGAGATTTTAATATCTCATCTTTAAAATAAAAGTTTTAACAAAAATTTAAAGCTTAAAGCTTATTTTTAAGGAACAGACTTTCTTTATGGTCATTACGGTGTACTGCTTTAGGGTTGTAATTCTGATTGCTGATTGGATAAAAGGACACTTTTATAGGTTTACATTTGGATACTTTACCTTAAAGATGAAACAAGAACTCTGATACACTGACAATTGGGAGGTTTTGACAACACCGTCTACTTTGATACTGTATATATTGAATTAAAACAACATTGTTTAGAATGCCTACACGGAGGCCTCTCACAGTGGCTCAGTGTTTATGTCACGTATCTCTGACGTGGTTCTCTGCTCTTCTCTAAAAGGGAAGACTCATTCATGTTGACTCTCATTAAACTATCAGAGGCCACAGGATAACGTGCTAGGCTTCTTAGTCACTCTAGCAAAGTGACTCTAGGGACTTTTCTTAATCAAGACAGATCAAATACGCAGTGAATCAGAGTACCTGGACAAAACACACACACACACACACACACACACACACAAAAGAGAGAATATGCAAACTCTCCACAGAAACATATTTTTCTTAGTAATTGCATTGTTTACTGCTGATTTGTAATGACTAAGAATTCCTATCAATGGAATATACCTCATACATGAATCCCGCAAAATGTGCCAGTTTTCCTCCAACATCAGATGTTTTGTTGTGTATATTTTGTTGTAAATTTTCAAATAAACATTTTAATACAAAACTTAATGTGGTGTACTGTTTGGATTACGACTTTATTGTATTACAGCAACAGTAAAACACAACCTCATACAGTACATGTAATTATGCGTCAGGCTGCCTCCACATGATCAGTGGCGGAATTGTTCTGTGACAGCTTGTTTACTGGCTCACCTTCAGCATGACTTTTACAGTCTTTGTTTATAACTTGTATAAATGATACAGTAAGATTATGGAGTGGTGTTGAGCTAAACTCGCAGCTGTGACACTGTGCTAGCACCAAGTGCAGCCACTGATGGCCTTTGTACGTGATAAAGTGCAAGTATTAGGGCCATCAGTTGACATCAGTGGGTTTAATAAGAAATTTTCCTGGAAATTATCTGTACGAACAGTCAAATGTGGTCTTTGTTAAAGGAAGAGGGGGGAATGTCACCAAGTAAACATTAATCTATTATCTACCCAGCACTTTAACCTTCTTCAACTTATTTTTTAAACCTATACCCAGCTTTAGTATAATTCAGATAATGGTAAGAAAGAGACACTACCTCTGGCTGTAGTAATTAGGAGTATTGCTCTGCAGTGCCCTCTCAACTAACATGACTTGGTAACTTTTGGTGCGACATGGAAATGTCAGTGAGTCGCCCCAATACATTGGAGGTGAATGTAATTTGTTGCTTAGAGCATTGTAAAATGACATTTACAGTTACTCCACAGACCTTACTGTTAGCAGCTTTTATCGGAATAACTTTCTACTGAAGAAATATTTCCAGTTGGCATTATGTTCCAGAGTAACAGGACATTATTTCTTGTAGAGATTTGTTGTCCCATTTTGTAAGTGCATTTTCCAACACAGTCAAATGACTCACAGCTGCAGCTGCTTGGAGATTCATCTACCCTCGCAACAACTTTAAACAATAAAAGCAGAGATAGAAACAAAGGCAGCTTATAGGGCAGGATAAGCACAGCATCTTAAACTCTACAGGATCAGAATCAGAAATACTTTATTGATCTCTGGGGGTAAATTTGTTCGCTACAGTTGTTCCACTAACACAACGTTAAAGAATAGTACTTATATACAATATCTAACACAATATATAGAATATAAGTTAATGTATAGGTATATTCATATAGTAAAAAGTAAAAATAAAAATGGAAATAGAATTAGAATGTTTTATAATGGAAAATATTTGTGATTTGTTGTAAATGGACTAAAACATACAAACAGACTACATTGCACAGTCTCACGTGGATGTTCCTGTTTCTATATATAACCATTGTTTTCCCTCACTTTTTCACTCATCACTGGCGTCAGGCTGAATTGAGTAATAAATTATTATGCACACACCGTATTGCACTTCTCCATTGTTACCTACAGATGTCACTAAAGGGCAACTTCATTTCAGAGCTCAGGGAGTTTTCACAGGCTGTTAAAAGCTTTACTTTGAATCACAGGGCTCTTGGGGCATAGAGTTTATTAGTATTTAGATAATAAGAGTATGGTGTAATTTGCCATATCTGATCCTCACTGAATGCTCAAAATATTTCTGTAGGAAATACACTGATGAAGTGAATCACCTTTTGATTTCTAAAAATCAACTGAACCTACAGACTCAGAGCTTTAAACAAGTGATCAAATGTAATTATAGCCAATAGTGGCAGTTGGTAGAGGACTTTATTCATGATCAGTAAATGAACTGAATATAACATGTTCACATTTCCTAATTAAGCTTCTCAACATGGTCATAACTTATTATTTAGTTAAGAGTTTTACATTTTATATTGTTATTTCAGTGCTGCACACCATAACTGTAACCCACCACATCTTCATCTTCATCTTATTTTATTTCAGTGAGTAATGTTAAGGTTTTATAATTCCTGCTTTTAATAAATAAAGGCCCATTTGATGGATGTAGTTGTTAAAGACATTTGATTTGAGTATGGAGTATGGTATTGGCTAATTTATTATATTTATTGTAAATTCTAGATCTGACTGGTATTACCTATGAAGTTAGGCTTTGTATTGTTAGGGACATATCATACTTTGATAATGTGCCATTATATGGGGGGAAATAAAAAGCTAATTATCCATAGCTGTGGAACTACTGGCCCAGATGGATTATAATATTTATAGGTATGTTTTGTATTGTATGTTTAGTGTATAATAAAATTTGTTACCTGTGTTTATCTACAGAGGGAGCTAGAAGCCACTAAATACTAGACATACCGGTCCTTAAAATATAAACATCACTGCAGATTTTAGTTTGAAAACAGACTTAATTAAAATTAATTTATGCAGAGTTCTGTTCAGCTTCCCTCCTCTACTGTACCTCTGTCTTATTGCCCTTTCAAACTAATTGTGTTTGAATTTGAAAGTGATTAAATGTTTGTTCCTCACAGATACTAAAACTAAAAAGTTGCCAACACACTAACCTGATCTGAAACTCTAAGCTGAACTGAAAAAAATTGGCCTATTGTAAGTAGGCCTACAGTCTTATATAATCACTGTAGACTCTTTGTTAAACAATGCAGAGAGATTCTTCCTTTTGTAATCAACCCAAAAGTGCAATGTTCCAGTTACTTTTTAGGCTGTCTGAATTAAACAGGCTGGAACTAGCACACTAAACGAGGTCTACCTTCTAAAAAACGTTTAAACTGTATAATATAATTAAATACAATCTCTGATGAATAGATACAGTTAGCACAGACCAGCAAATCTCAGAAATGAAACGGTTAAAAACAAGCTCATTAATAATCCACAGGTGAGGGTTAAAAGTAACCTTAGCTGATGTTCCTGCAACGTAACACCTTGCTCATAAACAAAAGCCATAAAGCAGATTAAATAACTCTTTGTTCACTTTTTGTTTCGTATGTTCTGTGAGATAATAGAGCTAAAAATAAAGTTACTGGTATATCATGTACAAGGAAGTGCACGACTCAATTCTTGTTTGGTATGTGATGCCAGTATAAAAGTGCCAGTGCGGGAGGTTTGTCCACATACCAACTACCAACATGAAGGTCCTGCTTCTTACAGTCCTGCTGCTGCTGCTGTGTAGCACTCAAGGTGAGGGAACTTTGGTTTAGATTAGATTTTTGGATTATTTTTTACCAACGCAAAGGTCAAAATGAAGACAAAAATACTTTAAAAAAAAGAATACTAATTATATACTATAATGGAAGCATTTGATTTCACTGGAGTTTTCCAGGATAATATTGTAGTATGTGTACATTTTAATTTTGACGGATTTTGTCCTGTCATCAGTGCTCACACTCAGGTGCTACACCTGTGAAAGTGACAACGACGACCTCTGTAAGACGGAGACAGATTGCCCGGACACAGCTCAGTACTGCAAGACTGTTATGGGCGGTATGTAGGACTTGTTCTGCAGGATTCACTTTGTTTTCTCTTACTTTCAGGTTTTAATATGTGTGTTTTAACCTACTACAATGAGCTTTTAAGTGGTCAGGAAACAGTATCAGTTTAATTCTTATGCCGCTCTATGACATTTAAGCACACAAGATTATCAGTAAGAAGATTGGCTATTTCTATATAGTGATTCTTATCGCCTGCCACCTGATCTGGTTTGGTCAGATTCCCCTTGAAATCACTGGTATCACTATTGGAAACACTACTACTTTTGTCCACAGGGGCCACCAGAATGAACAAAATATATAATTTCCTTCTTGCTGCTTTAACTATTTTGGGAAAAGTCGTATTACATATTGCAGTGACGGAGGAATGGTTCAGTCATTGCATATTGTTCTATTTGTTTTTCAGGAGGTGACATTAAGTCTCGAACTTGTGAGGAGTTTTGCGCTGAGGACCTTTTCACAACCTGCTGCCAACAGGACCTTTGCTAGACCTGAGGCGTCAATCAGCGTTCACTGTCGCTTTCTGTTTAATGACAACAGTGTGAAAAAAATTCATCACTTAAATCTGAACATGATGGAAGATGACTTAAAAGATTTTAATTAAACTATCCTGTCTTTGATTTGCTTTTATTAATAGTTTCACTTAAATCTACAAATGTTGAATAGCTTGTACTGATTCATCATTTGACAGCCTTGTCAAACTGCGCAACACGCTGGTAGTCACAGCCATGATTTTTTTAATGCACAAGTGCCCGAAGCAGGGCACGCAAACACACATGCACGCAAACACACACTTAATCCTTCCTGATGTCACTTAGTGGGTCACTGCAACAGCCTAATGCTATGTGGGTCGCTGTCTGTCTCTGCTGCAATGTAACGCTGGATCATCATCTGTTTCAAAATCAAAACAAGAATAAATCTTTGAATTGATCTCATGAATATGTTTGAGCTGTCTTTTGTTACAGGTGAGGCATGCCTCTAGTTCCTGTTTTTTGACCTTGTAGTTCTGATTAGTGTCTTAACAGTGAATTAAAAGATTAATTAATGGACCATCAGTTTAATGGGTACGCGATCAAGCTGGAGCTCAGTTACATGAAAGTTTATTTATCTAACTTTATCTATGCATTTATGTATTTATTTGCATCTGACAACCAGTTTGATTTAAAAAATTGCTTGTTTTTATGAGAAGAGGTACTGTTCTGCTTTCAGAGAGGCTGAGCAAATACATGAGTCTGAATAATGTTTTCTCTAACAGGAATCCATCTTTTTTTGTTACATATCAGTTAATGTATGAAGTAACTGTGTAAACAGCCTGAATCAACACGAGTCATGCATGAAGCAATACTATGATTTGTACCCTTATTATAAATTCTTGTATTTCTACATGAAGAATCCTGCCCATGGTGCCTTGCCATGTTGCATTTTAGTGAGAAATGCTAAATGCAAACAGTTTGTTTACAAGAAACTCCTAAACAGTCCCCTACTGCAGATTTTTATCTACAAAGGATAAATTGAAATGGTTAATAATTTACAGTAAGCCAATTATCCTGGCCAACACACCCACGTCGGCCATAATTTGTAGCATTTGGAACAGTCAGGCTAAGAATTTGAAGACCAGCACTTATAGACTCATTCAGGTGTGTCAGCCCAAATGAGTCCAAAATGAAGCATGTTATCAATCATCCTAAAGGCCCTGCTTTAACCTGGTTTTGTGTCCATTTATGTTTGCTAATGAGAAAGAAAGTGAACATGCACGTTTAACCCACTTGCGCCCACAAATTCCCCATTTGACTTTATGCTAAAGGGATGTTAGCTGTTTAATTTCGCATCCCTCTTTCAACACTGAGCCAGGGAAATTGTTTCTTGAAGACATTAAAGACATGACAATAAAGCACAAACACAAAATTTACCCTTGAGTCATATAATAAGTTGTCACGCACACACCTGTGGCTGGAGAGCGCATCTTGTCTGGCAGCATTCATTCACTCTACCCTGAGAGCGATTGGCCATGTCACACCCAGTTACTGTCAGGCCAACACAGTGCATGTTTCATTCAGATTCAATGTTGACTACAAGAAAGTACAGCAGCATACTGAGTAATTGGGACATTTTAATGAGACTCTTAAACCATGCAAAGCAGGCTGACGTCAGTGGGAAAGTGATTAATTGGGTCATTTAGGCCTGTGATGACTTCTATGGCCCTTAAAGCTCCTTCATACAGGGCTCATGTTTCATTTAAAATGTGTTTCCTGTTGCTCAGATAACACAAATATATAACATTAGAAACAGAATACAACAATGAACTGACTAAAATGAATGAACTGGATTAATTCAAAATACTTGGCAACATCACACATCGTTCCAAATCACACTGTCAGCATGAAAATATAGGTCATATGTGTTAATCCCGCCAGCTTTTTCTTCTTTACGTTAGAGCAGCTCAGACACCAGAGGTGGATGATTGGTGGATTAAGAGGCCACAACCTTTACACTTAATGTGTCACTAGTTTAATACGAATATATCACACATGGGATTTATCCAAAAGTTACACAGATAGACCCAGTGACTTCTAGCACAATGTCTTCAGATAGAAAATAAAATCAAATTTTTTATTTAATGCGTCACTTATGGGTGACCTCCACCAAACCAAATATGTATCAACTTCCTGTCATGTAGAGGAATTATTATGATTTTTGAAGAAGCTAGTATGTTACAAACAGCCACATTTAGAGCATGAGAAAAAACACATGCTACACTCATTTGCTGCCCACACAGGAAATTGCTGTGGTTGAGAATGTGAGAATTAGCATGGCCCATACTAAAGGTTCAGTGAGTGTTGGTACAGTTGTCAAATGAAGCTACAGTCATTTTCTTGTAAGTGTATTTTTTTCTTTTTTACACATTATCAGATCTCTTTCTCTCTCTCCTCCAACAAGACTGGTTAGAGGTTGAGATCTCTATCTATCTATCTAGGGTTCGAATCCGACCTGCGGCCCTTTGCTGCGTGTCATCCTGTCTCTCTTCAACTGTCACTATCATAAAGGCAATAAAAAAAAGCCCAAAAAAATACTATATAAAAAAAATAGCTATTCAAATGGTGCGAAGAGGAAGCCATACAGACACTCAAACATCAAAGCTTTTCTTCACCTCACAACTGAAAGAATATTTTCTTATAGATTGTGATGGAGGGGGTAGATGATTAGTATGTATTAGTGCACAATTACTCCAGTACTGTCCCTGTGAGGTACTTGTACTTTACTTAAGTATTTCCTATTTAGGCTACTTTCTACTTCCACTTATTTACGAGGTAATTGTTTTTTACTCTACTACTTTTTTTTACAGACATAGCCACTAATTACGTTTAAGGTTTAAGGTGTTACATAAAACACAATACATTCAATAAACACACTCTCCTTGCAATACACTCCAAAAGCACTGTGTAGTTGATAAAAAATAAGTATGAGTTTTTGTAGCAGATCACTGTTTTTTATTCTGTCTCCTTCGATTAATCATCTCAAGACCTCCCAGATTTGATCTTGAGAGCATTTGGAGGGAGTCCAACCCCCTGGTTGGAAACCATTGGATTAAACTACCTGTAGTAAAAACAGTATAGTAAATAATACATAAAGTAGTTAAACCTAGTTCCACCAGCTAAAACAGTAAAATGCTGCATACACATAAATAATTAAAGTATTGACAATATGCAATATGTTAGCCACATTTGTATTTTGTACCTTCGATATATTTTACTGATAATACTTTAAAAAGCAATATTTTGTAAGTAGGACATTCACTGGAGTAAGTTCACACAGTTTTCTGGTACTTTAACTTAAGTAAAGGATATAATTAGTGTATGATATCAATTTTAAGTGTAGGTTAGAAAAAGCATGGCTGCTGGACAAAGCTTGTCTGCAAAAAAATAAATAAAAAAACAAAATTCAAAACAAAGACTCATCATGTTGCTCCACCAATGATGGGCTTGTTGTCAAGAGGGAGTTCTGCTTCAGCTGGTAGGGTAATGGTGGTCCATCTATTGGATTAGTGGAGGGATTTTCACTGTGGTATTAATCTGGGAAGACAGCAGGCGGCCCGGGCTGGGCTCACACTGAGCTGTTGTGTCTCTCTGGCTGTCACTCAGCTCGCTGGTTCACCTCCATCAGACGCACTGAAACGAACAGGACACCCCTCAGCCAACATGAACCTTTTCTGCTTTTCACTGGTAAGAGACACACTTTGATTTCTGCATCATGTACCTGACAAGCTGTGTGTGAGAGTAGGAAAGAGAGCTTGTGAGCCATGTGGTGCAAATGAGAGCATGGCCACAAGGAAATATTTGTAAATCAGCACATGCTGTGTAAGTAATGCAAGGTTTTTATCACAGTGTGTCAGCCTCTTAGCTACACATGATCCCAAAGACACTTAGGCTGCTGTCTGTTTAATTATTAGAAATATCCTACTGATAATGAGTTGCTCTTTTTGCACAATCCACATACTAGCTGTCTAAAAATACTACACTCATCTGCTTTATTGGATTTCCTTGCACTAATTGAGTAGAGCATGACACATTGTTGTGTACTTTAATACTGCAGTTCATGTATTGGTTGATGTGTCCGTGATGCAACGGAGAAAGTAGAAAGAAAGTACTGATAAGTGAAGCGACAAGGGTAAAGACTAGTGTGTGGTGGCACAACTCACACATATGGTCCCTCAGATGCTGCTGCAGCTGTCATGCTACATGTGGGCACAAGGGCAGGAATACAGAAACCTTTCTTTGGACAGATGTTGGGGATGTTGACCATCAGGATTATTAACCAATGTCTTACTATAGTAAACAGAGGCTTGAACTGTGATTGCGCTGATTGTCCTCTCTCTTGGTTCCACATCAGGTGTACAATGATGGCTTGTGCAAACGCAACCTCATTAATAAGATATTAAAAAACATTTTATATACATGTTTGATTTAGGTAATCATTTGGCACAATGGAGATACAGATGGAAGTAAATGATACTGTACTGACTAAAGTTTAGAGAGACAAGTTTTATGAAAACTCTTTCTAGAAGGATAATGAAATTGCATGATCCAGGATTCAACTTAATAAAATTTCAAACAACATTAATAAATTAAAAGCATGAATAAATTTAAGTTGTATTAAAATATCCACAAATAGAATTTGGAAGGAAACTGGAGTGGGCAAGAGTGTAGGATATCTTTGTGATATCTTGTTTATACATTCAGTGAAAATATTCGACCCACATGGACACATTATGTTCAAACCAAAGAGGCTGATCCTATAAATGTATCATTGTGAATCAAAACACCTTCACTTGTTGTCACTAAAAATGGCCGTCAGCCCAGTTCATAGATAAGATGTTATCGTACAGTCATGATGAGATGGATGCAGATAAAAATTGGTTATTCGTTCCTAGAAGGAATTCAAACAAGCTGAACACATTTTAATCCAGGCAGAAATCTGTTCGGAGGAATTTCAATCCTCCCCTGAATCCATGGTTGACAAGAAAATTTATAAGAGCTTTGGAGCAGCATTAGCAGAATATCCCTACAGTCAAATAAAATCCTCATAACTCTAGCTTTGTGTCCGTTTACTGGGAAACAAAGACGTATGTGGGCTGTCTCGTACATTTCTTTAGGTTTTCTCAGCTTCAGGCTGTGGAAACAACCATTCTTTAAACATTAAACTGTGTGTGAAGGATTTGTTTTTAAATTTCTGAAATGAGTGTGAGGTTCGACTAAGCAGTCATAGAGCATGACATTTCCTTACCACGATATAAAGTGTGTAACCTACAAAACTTGATATGAACCTACACTTTATCACATCAGACTTAATCCAACAGGATAAATCCATTCATGAATTGCTCCTGCTGCCAAATTTCAGCTAACAGCTGTGTGTTTGTCTGTCTGTCCACATGGCATCA